TGGCTGGGTTCAGTGCTCATGAAACTTGGGACTCTGCAATAGGCACATGGAGCCCATCAGAAAGGCTTATGAACTACAGGGTGGCTCTAGATATGATTATTCCTATGCAGGGGGTCGTGGCTCATACGGTGATCTTGACGGACCTATTATTACTACTCAAATAACTATTCCCAAAGATTTGGCTGGATCTATTATTGGCAAAGGTGGCAGATTAAACAAATCCGTCATGAGTCTGGAGCTTCTATCAAAATTGAGCCTTTAGAAGGCTCTGAAGAATGGATCATTACCATTACAGGAACACAGGACCAGATACAGAATGCACAGCATTTGCTGCAGAACAGTGTGAAGCAGTATGCAGATGTTGAAGGATTCTAACGCAAGATATTTTTTCTTTTTTATAGTGTGAAGCAGTATTCTGGAAAGTTTTTCTAAGACTAGTGAAGAACTGAAGGAGTCCTGCATCTTTTTTGTTGTTGTTGTTAAATCTGCTTCTGTTTAAAAAGCCAACATTTCTCTGTTCCATAGGTGTTCTGCATTTGAGGTATAGTGAAATCTTTGCTGTTCACCAGATGTAATGTTTCAGTTCCTTACTAACAGGCTTGGGGGAGAGAGCATGCAAAAACTGACATTGAAATTTTGAAACAGCAAAAATAGAAAAAGGTTTTGAATGAACAAACTTATTTTCTTATCTTTTTGGTAACTGGTATTAACCTCAAAGACATGTTTTCTAAATATTTTTATTTTGCTTTGACTATCAAAGAAGATAAAGACTTGGGCAGCTAACAATTATACAATGAAAAATCTTATTGAAAATAAGTGATGTAGTGTAAGTAATGTTGATTAACCAGAATGAATATATCATCTCTGCCACTTTGAGGAATCATACTTTTGTAACCACTAGTGTTTATTAAGTGGATGTGTGAGGTAGACGTGGACAACCAGAGAGCAAGAGAATGGGGCGCAGCAGGCTGCTCTAATAATTCAGATCATGTGCTTCATTTTTCATCATCATGCAGAATGCACATGCTCTCTAGTTTGGTAGTGTCAGCTCCTGTTTTAAACAAAATTTGGGGTTTACAGCTATAAATCGGGGAATAGGATAGTAAGAATAATTGGCTGTAGCATAGTATAATTAGAAGTCAGGTGGTTATTTTTTGAAATGGGATCTTTTGTTGGCTTTTGAGACTTGTTCACCATGTAGCTCAAGCTAGCCTTGAACGCACTATGTAGCCAAGGCTTGCCTTGAACTTGTAATCCTCTTGCTAGGATTATCAGGAGATGCCATTGTGACCAGCTTAGGATAGTTTTTAAGAATATTAATGTATTTAGTGTGTTTTATAATTTTTTACAAGGTGTAAACACTTATAGTAAATAATTGAATGGATTGTGGTAAAATTTTTCTTCCCAAAATTCCACCCCTTGTAATTGAGAACTGAATTCTTGGGTGTCAGAAATCATCTTAAATTTTTGAAGAGTGAAATCTTTGAATGTACTCCCAAATGATAATCTGTAAACCTGTATACTTTGGCATTCTTAATATGCTTAAAAAGATCAAAAGAAGAGTAATACCTTGTGTCATGAAACTCCAATTTCATTGTCCATACCTACTATTAAATCTTTGTGAAATATAGTCAGCTTCTTTTGCATTACAGTGACAACTGAGCAGTTGTGACAGAGACCATATATATTTATATTTTCTTTGTACTGTTCTTTAGTAGACCATAAATTTTAGTGATACAGTATAGATGAGTGTCATGGCTATTGATAGTTTCCGTTACTTATTTTATTACCAGTGCATATCTCATCAGAACATGAGGACATAGACTTCGAGGGACTGTGTGTGCGTGTGTGTGCTCTAGAGGTACAATCCAAGGCCTTGCACACACTAAACATGCACTTAATCATGAAACTACACCCTTGGCTCCTAAATGGAATTTGGATTATTTTGTTGAATTAAATAGGAAAAAAACAAACCATTGTTCTTATTCAGTCACACTACAGTAGGGATAGAAGAGCAAACATGTACCACAGTATGCCCAACTCTCAGGAGTGTGTATCAAGAAGTTGAAGTACCTTATGGCATAATTTCTCCCTAAAAAATAAAAATGAAAAAAATGAAGTTGCCATCAAAACAAGTTTCTAACTGGTTCGTTTGTTAATTAAGCAAAGAGCCATTTAGTGATATTGAATTAATTAAATTGTGTTGGATCATGGAAGACTATGGCAAGAATAGCTGATTTAAACATTTGAAGACACTGATAGTCAATTAAGAAACAAGGCAAATGGCTTAGAGTGGTTTTCCTGGGCTCCTGATGAGTTGACCAATGTTATTGATGCTGCCCAGTTATTTATTGGAGATTCAATGCCAAGTTTCAAATGGCAGTAAAAATTAACCTTGTGAGTATAGTGAATATTCCTTATGGTGCACCTGTAGACACAGTCCCCCCCCCCCCTTTTTCTTGAGGTCTTCTTGAGGCAGGTTCTTCCTGTAGCCCCAGCTGAACTTGAACTCATTATGTAGACTGGGCTGACCTCTTTTTCACAGACTTGCCTGCTTTTGCCTCTGCCTCACAAGTGCTGGGATTCAAAGAATGTGCCACCACACCCAGCATCTTTTTCAGCTTTTTGAGATGGGTTTTACTATATACCACGGGCTGGCCTGGAACTCATGAAGATCCACCTGCCTATGCCTTCCCAGTGCTGGAATAAAAGACATGTACCACCTTACCCAACAGACACAATATTTTAAAAGTTGAGAAAACACCTAAGCATAATCTGAAGTAGAATGTACTAAGATGTGCTGTAGTGGGTAGTGATAAAATATACGTGATGTCTTCTGAGTGCTAGGATTACAAGAATGAGCCACTAAACCTGATCAGCTGAGCATAGAGGGAAGCAAGGAGAGAGAAGATGCCAGAGATGTGAGCATTAAGAAGGAATTCTAACTGGATAGAAGTTCTGAGATACAGAGTTTGGAACTTTGCAAGTGATTGTTTGGTGACTACCTTAATGTAGCTGTGTGGTGGTAGGATTTCATTATGATAAAGTGATTTAAAAATAAATATATAAAAGGTTTTTTTGTTTGTTTTTTGTCTTTTTCAGACAGGATCTCCTTGTAGCCCCAGCTGGCCTGGGAATTTGCTATGTAGACCAGGCAGCTGGCCTTGAATTCAAAGATTTACCTGCCTCTACCTCCCGAGAGCTGTGATTAAAGATGTGGGCCATCATGCCAGACTAAAAGGTTTTTTTGTTTGTTTGTTTTAAGGAATGAAATCAGAAGTAAAATTTAGACTTTAGCATTTTAGACGTAATTACTGTTTTATGACATGGAAGGAGTGGCTAGGGGAAGATAATATTCAAATACAGGGATGCAGCTAAGTGGGAAAGGATGGCCACTATCCATCCACTCCTTATCCGGATGAAGGTTGAGGATGGAAGAGGGAACTAGAAAGGGTAAAGTGTATAGGAAGGGTTGTTAACACAACACAGGACTGTCAGTATGTGGAAAGGCTAGTATAATTTGAACATGTTTCTCAAGTCGTTCTGGGTTGCAATAATGTCCTCCCTGCTCTCTTCAAGAACCATTCATAAATGACAGTTGTAGTGTTTTATCAACAGAGAATTAGCAGGCCAAGATAAAACAGTTTTTAAGGGTTAATTGAACTTTTGCTAGAATTTGTACTATTTAGTTTGAATAGTAACAAGCACCCAGGATGCTAATTTTTCTTTACCATTAATTCTCAAGTGATTAATAGGTGCTACCTATTTGGTATGTGTATGTGTGGGTGTGTCTGTGTCTACCTAATGGAAACTTAAAACTAAAGTGTACTTCTGGATCCATGAATTTCACCAACTTGTGGGATCAAATATTTGGTGGGGGAAAAAGTTGCATCTGTACTGAGTAGGTACAGACTTTTTTCCTTTTTTTTTTTTACAGACTGAGCAGGTGTCAGTCTCTGTTCCCTAATAGTATAACATTAAAACTATTTACATGGCAGTTATATTGTGTTAGCTGTTGCAAACAATCTAAAGATAATTAAAGTGTAAGGAAAGAAGTACGTAGGTTGTGTGTAGACCCTCACTGTTTATGAAAGAGAATTCAGCATGTGATTTTAGTATTCATTGTGATGCTGTAACCAGTCTCTGTGACCAAGATACAAGTGTATGAAGCATGTTTAAGGATGGGACAAAGATAAAACAGCCCTTTCGGGTTTATAATGTATTCAGATGAGGTATGTATAAACAACATAATTAAGTGGTAATTAATTAGTGTATAAAATCTATATATGCTAAGAATAAGGAAGTTACATTATGAGAATATTTTTCAAACTAGATTTGTGGTCCACTAATGACTTGTGAAATGTTTAATGGTTCACAACTAGTGTTATGTTCTCCCCACTCCTTAATGGATTGGAACAGAGTTGACATTGTATGGGACTCTTCCTTTTTTCTTATGTTTTTGAGATGAGGTATGTAACTCATGTTGCCTAGACACTCTGTGTAGCCCAGACTGACCTTGAACTCATGATTTTCTGTCACACTCTCCCTAGTGCTGGTGTTGTAGGCATGTGCTACAACATCTGGCTTGTTTAGGGCTCTTATTGCTGCAATACAGAAGGTAAAGTGCTTTATGAAACTTATTTATTATGTGTGTGCATGTAGGTGTCTACTGAATTAGATGGGAGACATTTCTTACTGTGGGCTGTAGTTAAGTATAAATCTACTGTAGGATATTTTGATAAACAGAAGTATACCTAATAATCTTAGTCTCTTAAACTGTTTATAGCATTCATTCGTGAAATTTACTGTGATCTCAACTAAAACCATGTATGCATTTTATATATATATATATATACACACACACATAGTATATATAGTATACACACATATATACTATATATATGATAGTATATATAGTATACACACATATACTATATATATGATAGTATATATGTGTGTGCATATATACATACATATGTATATTTGTTTTTTCTTAATAGGTGCAATGGATGAACTTCATAGTCTAGATCCGAGAAGGCAGGAGTTACTGGAAGCCAGGTTTACTGGAGTTGCAAGTGGGAGCACTGGGAGCACTGGGAGTTGCAGTGTTGGAGCTAAAGTGAGTGAAATTTTAATCTTCATTTGGTATTCTTTCTTTGCATTAAATTGTCTAACATGTATTTTGTGGAGCCGGTGAGATGGTTCAGTGGGTAAAAGTGCTTGCTGCCAAACTTGATTGCCAGAATTGAATCCTTGGGACCCACAAGGTGGAAGGAAAGAGCTGATGCTTATAGATTGTCTTTTGGCCTCCATATGTGTTGCACACACAAATAATATAAATATAATAAAAGCTAAAACAATAAAGTGTATTTTGTGCAACTTAATGGCAAGTTGTTATGATTTTTATAGTGTGTAGAAGAAAAGAAAGTCTGTTTATAAACCTGATTTTTTTTCTCTTTGCTGTGCAGATTTTTAATACATGTGCTGCCGAAGTGAGCACAGTGTGCAGAAGATTTATCTTTTCTTTTCTTTTTTTGTCTTTTTGAGACAGGGTCTTCCTGTAGCCCCAGCTGACCTGGAACTCGCTATGTAGACCAGGCTGGCCTTGAACTCACAGAGATCTGCCTGCCTCTGCCTCCCGAGTGCTGGGATTAAAGGCATGTGCCACCACACCTGGCTATAAGAAGATTTTAAATTTAATGCAGTTGCATTTGTAAATTCTTGCTATTTTCTGAGGAAAAGTTCTTGCCTGTGCCTGTGTATTTATTTCTCTAGCAGTTTCCAGGCATTAGGTTTTGCATTAAGGTCTTTGCTCCAGTTTGAATTGCCCAGGGTGAGAGAAAGGGTTCTAGTTTCATTCTTCTACATGTGTATATCTAATTTCCCCACCAAATTTGAAGTGGCTATCTTTTTCTCCAATGTATGTTTTTAGCACTTTTGTCAAAAATGAGATGTCTAGACCAATGTGGCTTTCTGTGTCCTTTGTCTATATGTCTTTTTACTGTTAGTAACACGGTGTATTTATTACTGTGGCTCTGTAGTGTAATTTGAATACTTTGAGCCTTGCTCAGAGTAGCTTTGACTCTTGGTGCCATTACTGCTTCTATGTGAACTTTAGGAATTTTTTCCCATTTTTTTGTTTCTATGAAGAGTATTCATGGGATTTTGATGGAGGATTGCATTGAATCTGTAGACTACATTTGATCATATAGCATTTTCACATTATTATGCCAATCCATGAGCATGGGAGGTATTTCTAGCTTCTTGTGTCTTTAGTTTGTCTTTAGTGGTTTTTTTTTTTTTTGGTCTTTTTGAGACAGGGTCTCCCTGTAGCCCCAGCTGGCCTGGAACTCACTTTGTAGTCCAGGCTGGCCTTGAACTCAGAGATCTGCCTGCCTCTACCTCCCGAGTGCTGGGATTAAAGGTGTGAGCCACCACGCCTGGCTCGTCTTTAGTGTTTTTATTATAGAATTCTTTCACCTCCTTGGTTAGGTTTATTTTTAAATTAAAAAAATCTATTTTATCCTTGCTGGGCATGGTGGTGCACATCTTTAGTGCCAGCACTCGGGAGTCAGAGGCAGGTGGATCTCTGTGAGTTCAGGGCCAGCCTGGTCTACATAGTGAGTTCTAGGTCATCTGGGACTACAGGGAGACCTTGTCTCAAAAACACACAAAAAAGTTTTGTCCTATGCTATCCCATTGTGAATGGGTCTGTGTTCTTGATTCTTTCTCAGTATGCTTGTTGGTATATAGAAAAGCTACTGATTTTTGTTTGTTGAATTTTATCCTAATACTTTGCTCAAAGTCATTATCAAATCTAAGTTTTCCAGTGAAGTCTTTAGGGTCTTTTAACTATAAGATCATAATTTCTATAAATAGGGATATTTTTTGAGTTCCAGTTCTTGTCTTATTTGTGTTTCTTTCTCTTGCCTTATTTCTCTGGCTAGCAAGCAGTTTAAGCGCTATGCTGAATAAAGATGTAGGACTGGTAACTATACCTTATTACTGATTTTAGAGGAAAGGCTTGTCATCAGCCATTGTAATATTCAGGTTTCTCGATTCTGCCTAGTTTCTTCAGCTTGATCATGAAAAGATGTTGAACTTAGTTCAAAGGCCTTTTCTGCATTTATTGTCTATTAGGTTTTTGTCCCTGAGTATGTGCTGCATTACATCTATTGATTTTTGTATGTTGAATCATCTCATCTTTGTATCTCTCTCATGGTAATTCTGTTTTAGGATTTTGAGAAACTGCTAAACTGTTTACAAAATGGTTGTGCCATTTTATCTCACCAGCAATTCACAAGGAGTCTAGTTTTTCCACACCTTTGCCAGCACTTACTTTTTTTTTATTGTAGCCATTGTGGTTGTTGCATAAAGTGATACCTCACGGTATTCTGACTTACATTTTTCCATTGACCAGTGATATTAAGCGTCTTTCCATGTACCTAGTTAATATTTATATATGTTCTTTGGTGACTTATCTGTTCAAATTTTTTGCCTGTTTTTGAGTTAAGTTGCTTTTAAATATTGAGTTACAAGGGTTTTTATACATAATGAATACTAGACTTAATGAGATACATAAAAGCTTTACCTGATCCTCTGCCCCTTTCCTTCTTTCTGCTTTCCTCTGCTATGAGGTGGACAGTCGCCTCCTCCACGTTTTTACCTCCAAATGCAGGGGGCCAAGCAGCCATAGACTCAACCATGTGATAAAACTTTGAAACAAAATAAATAATTCTTCCCATTAAGGTATTTTCCTGGGTATTAGGTAGCAGCAACCATAAAACTAACCCAAAAAGTTGTTTATAGTTTTAGCATTTGCATTTAGATGTTTGATAATTTTGAGTATAAATGTGTGTGTGTGTGTGTGTGTGTACGTACACATATGTGGAAGAGAATTCAGATTTATTCATGTGGCTATCTAGTTTAAGCATCTGTTGAAAAACCTGCCTTCCCCTTCCCCCTCACACATACTGAACTTAGAATCTTTGTCGGAGTAAATGGGCCACAAATGTGTGGGTTTATTTTTCTACTCTGTTTTACTCTGCTGATCTGTATTTCTGTCCTTGAGACCATACCAGTATAGTTTTGTGGTACATCTCAAAAGCTGAGAGCATGCATTAAGATTGTTTGAGCTATTCTGGTTCTCTTGCATTTCATTATGACTTTTAGGATCAGCTGGTCAACTTCCTCAAAAGACAAGTTGAAGGTTTGATTTTTGTTTTTGTTTGGGGGATTTTGGGGAGTGGTTTTGTTTATTTGCTTGCCTTAAGACAGGGTTTCACTGCTTATTCCTGACTGACCTGGAACTCACTATGTAGACCTGGTCTCCCTCACTGCCCCTTCCCCCCAATGCTGAGATTAAAGGTGTGTACCACCATGCCTGGCTACAACTAGAGATTTTGATAGGAATTGCAGTAAATGTTTAAGTTAATGTATTGCGATCTTAGTTGTCTAATCTCTGACTATAAATGTCTTTATATTTGTTTTTGCTTCCTTTTGGTGATGTTTTGTGGCATTTGGTATATAGTTGTTGCATTTTAAAAAATTGTTTCTGAGGTTTTTACTCATTTCCACAATATTATGAGGATTTTTTTCTTTCTCCTTTACTGGAATTATACTTTTAATTTTCAAATTTATCATTGTTTTTGTATAGAAGTGCAGTTGAATTTTGTGCTTGGCTCTTGTGTCCTGCAACCTAGTTGAACTTGTTTTTTAGCTCTAATAGTTTTGTCATTATTGTTTTTGAAGTTTCTTAGTAATTTCTAAAATCTCAATGCTATAGGCAGAAGTGAGCAACTCAGATCTTTTGTCAGATCTTCTAAGAGGCCCTGAAATTTACATCCTTCGCCATAGGTTTGGCCAAAAAGAGTAGGCCCGGATTTTTTTTTTT